TTTATACAGGTTGAGTATCTCAGAATCCAAAATATCCAAAACTGAATTCATAATCTTCCTCTCAAATCAGTGTCAGCTGCAGCCCTCCCGTTCTCAGTTGATGGCAGATCCAGCATCCTAATTGTTTAGAGCAAAAATTTTTGGTGCATCCTTGATTTCCCTCCTTCTCTTTCACTGCATCATTCTGTCAAGAAATCCATTGGCTCTGTCTTTGAAATCTGACCACTTTTTGCCACCTCCACTACTGGTGTGAATTGCCAGTCTTCCTTCTGCATTACTTAATACTACTCTCTGTTTCCACCTTTGCCTCTCTCCCTTTACAGTCTCTTGGTACATCTGTCATAATGATCCTTTTAAAACATAAATCAGATCATGTCTGTTTTCTGTATCAAGCCTCCCAAAGGCTGCCCATCTTCTTCAGCATCCTTTTAATGGCCTGGAAGACCCTCCCTAATCAGGCCCATTGTTAAACTTGTCTGATGATCTCATAATTTCTGCTTACTATTGGCTTCAGCTTATTCTTGACTCCCAATTATTTATGGTTGCACTATATCCAGAGTTCAATTTAAGCCCTTTCTCTGTCTTTCAGCTCTTATGCATGTTACCAACTAGCATCTTATATTCAAATCCCTCAAGAGAGATCTGATTGAGTTAGTTAATGTTGTCTAAGTTGGGCAGGACTATTGGGCTCTGCTATCCCATATGCTGCTAGCCAGACCAGGGATTAGCTGTTCTTAAAGCAGATGTCTGTTTGTGGTCTAATTAACCAGGGTGTAGGGAGCTCCTAGTTAGGCATTCAGAGTAACAGGCTACTCTCTCTAGTATACATGGTTTTGAGCTGTGTTGTGTCTTTTCAGGTTATGTATTATAATTAATTGAATATAATTATAAGATATTTCTATTTTAAAACCTTCACTGCTAAAAATAGCACTGCTACTCAAAAGTTATGAAAATAAACATTGAACAAATATTTTTGGCTAAGGGTAAAACAAGTTGAAATAGCCAGATTTTTGCAGTTCTGTATTTATAAGGCAACATTCACTATGAGTTCAAAACATATCTTAATTCAAAATGACAGTGCAGAAGTGAATTCTAAGAGATGTTAATACAGGAGATACAAGGAACATAGAAGAGTTAAAAACTGAAGTAAAAAGGACTTGGGGTTATATGGTCTTGAGCCATGGAAAAGATTGAAATGCATTCAAGAAAACTTGGTTAATGAACCTAAACCTCTCTGTTTACTTATGATAAAATACCTAGTTAATACCAAATAAAAGATTCATTAGAAAAAAATTATGATTGTATTGTATATTACAGAATGCTTTTAAAGTATTACTTAGCAACAGCTATACATTACTGAAAAATTTAATTCTATTTTAAAAAACAAATGAAACAAAATGTCTTTAATATGCCTTCCCCAAAGTAATGCTGAAGAATACTTGATTATTCACTGACATATCTGTGCCACTGTAACTGTTTCCTTCCGATCAATTTTTAGACATAGAATTGATGGGTCAAAGGGTAGGAAAAATTTTTAAGACTCCTTTTATGTACCATCTGATTGGACTCTTGAAGATTCTATCAATTTGTAAGATTTTTTTTCTTTGCGATTGAGATTATGGTGTGAGTACAGTTTTGAATTTTCTTTTTTACTTAGCAGTATATATACTTTCCATGTTATTAATTTTTAATAGTTGTCTAATATTCTGTGTTGAGATAATTTACTTAACCATTCCTATTCTGTTGTGAATAAGTATTTATTTTTATGAATAAAGTTTCAGTGAACTTATTCGGGCATAAATTTTTATCCATGTTACAGGTTATTTTTTAGATTACATTATATTTCTGAAAGAAAAATCACTGTGACAAACGTATAAATATTTTTAGTGCCAAATTGATTTCTGGAATGATTGTAACAATTTATAGTTCCACTGACAGCACATGGTATTTTTCATTTTAAGACTTTATTGCTAACATAGAATATTTTTAAAATATAATTTTATTTATTAGTGTTGATAGATTACTGAATTAAGATGCCACCCACCTTGAATCACATCTTTTTAAATTATTAGGTGCTACTTCCAGCTTTTTGGATTAGTAGAATGTTTGGTTATTAGAGTCTGAAGGGAGTTCAGCTTCCTATCTAATGCAGGAATCTTCGCTATTCTTTTAAGCACATCAAATTATTATTTTATGGGATGAAATTTGGCCTTTGTACTTTGTCTTAGAATAAAGTAAATGATTTTTACTGTATTTGCAAACTTCTGTATAGACTTGTAGGAGCATAATAGATAAAAGGAGTAATTATAATTCTGTCAATTTAAACTAAAACATATCCCATTTTTATTCTAACAATCCCTATGTCCTACCAAACTTTAAAAAAATTAAAAAGCCAGAACTAAGGTAGTATCAAAACTTAGCAGTTTATTTATATCAAATCAAAATCATTAAAGGTAGTATTTTGCAGTTATATTAACAGACGTGAAATGTGGCTTGTCTTATCTAGTTAATAAAATAAGATGGTCTTGCTAAAACTTTACCTGGTAGTATTGCTTTGGTTGGCCTAGATTTAAAAAAAAGGTGGGGGGGAGGCTTTGACAGGGATCAAAGATGTAGCAAAGGAGACATTTGCTGTGGCCTGTGCCAAGTAAGACATTCTGATGCTCAAGCTCTTTGCTCAGAGAATGCTGTGTGAAAGAGGATTTCCTGAAAAGGGCTGTTTTCAACTGCTCTTTTGAGAGCAGTCTCATCCGTAAAGAAGCGTGGATAAAAGCACCTGGATTGTGGTAGTCTGGATAATGAATGGGAGGTCAGCTAAAGACAGTGAATGTAAAGAACTCTTTCAGGACATTGGTTGAGGAAGGAAGAGATAGATACTAAGATACATCGAGGGAGAAGAAGGATTCTCAGGCTGAATAGACTTGGGAAGGTTTGTAGGCTGTGTAAAAGGAGCCTAAACAGAGGGAGAAATGGAGTAGATCGCTGAGGAGACCAGGAAGATGGAATCAGGAGCAAATGGTTAGCTTTGGGCAGCTTTCCCCATTGAGAAAGATGATAAAGATACTGAAGACGTAAATAAATCTTAAAAAAGGGTGGAAAGGTAATAAAGCAGTTTATAGTCAATGATATTTTTTTCTCTTGTTGGAGTTACTGACTATAGTTACCTGCAAAAAATGTGAGTGGTGAGGATGAAGTTGAGCAC